GATAAACGATGTTTTAGCAAAGGTGCAATAGGAAGGAGAAAAATATGTTTTAGCAAAACCAAGTTTGACTACTTGTTTACGGCTGTGAAGGGGATACTTACGATGGGAAAGATCAGAGTTGTCAGAAGTAGGGGGATTAGCAGCAAAGGCAAAGACAACTGGTGGAAGGAGAACCTTGCAACGAGAATAGACTAACAACGGAGGAGATGAAAGAGCAGGATGCGGTGCGGGAGGAGAAGAAGGAACAGACTCATGGGGTTCAGTAGGAAGGGATTCAACATGAGGGGTGGTAAGAGAAAAAAAAAGGGATAAGCTCAAGGGGAACAATAGAGATGTATTCATCAGGAGGGACCTTAGAGAGAAATGGATCAATGCGAACCAAATCCTCTTTAGAAACCGGAGCAGTGATAGGAGGAAGATGAGAGACAAATGTTCAAGAAGGCAACATGGCAAAAGACGTAAAGACGACGAGAAATAGGATCATAAAAGCAATAGCCTTTTTGAGTAAGACTGTAACTCAAAAAAACACACAAGACAGGCTAGGCACTAAGTTTGGTCCTATCTTTTCGAGGAAGAAGTACAAAACAAGCAGACCCAAAAACACAAAAGAGGGAATAATTGGAAAGTTGAGAAAACAAAGCCTCATAAGGGCACCGACCAAAAAGAAGTGGAGTATGCATACGGTTAAGAAGAAAAGTAACAGTAAGAACTAAGGGTGTTTACACTCAATTCGACCATTTTGAGCGAGCATATCAATACAAGACATTTGGTGAATAGTACCCATGGTGGCCAAATACTCACAGAACTCAGTCTTAAAATATTCCCCATCCAAGTCAGAATGTAACAATTTAATAGTAGACCCAAACTGTGTAGTGACCATAGACTAAAAAGTACGGTATATCTGGTAGAAGTCAGATTATGAGTCATAAGGTAAACTCAAGTATAACGAGTGTAATCATTGACAATAGAAACATAGTAAGCAAAGCCCCCTTTAGTAAGAACAGAAGAGAGTCCTTAGACATCAGTATGCACAAGAGAAAATAGGGTAGCATAGAAGTACTTTTATTAAATGGTAAAGTTGTCATTTTGGCAAGTTTACACCCCCGACAGTCGGCAATTTGACTAGGAGAAACTTTACTTAATAATCCTGACTGAGCTAACGAACGTAAACGGTCAACAGACAAATGACCTAATCTAGAATGCCACAAATAAAAAAGACTCGACTGAGAATCTAACTGAAATGATGAACTGGAGAGATGGACAGAGGGAGATGCAAACTTTCCACCATATAGAGGTCTCCAACTCTACGACTGGTCTCAATCTGCTTCTTGGACTGCCGATCAAGTTGACTAATAGAGAGCAAACTGATAGATAACTGAGGAACATAAAAAACAAATGGTATAGTGATAATAGACATAACAGAGGGTAGAACAGACCCAACAAAGAGGACAGACATCAGACCCATTTGTAGTGTTAACAGTAATAGGAATTGGAGGAGAATGACAGTTATAAAGTAAGGAGAGATGGGGAGTCATATGATGAGAAGCACCAAAGTAAAAAATTCAAACCAAATGAGAAATACCTAAAGAAGAACTAAGCAAACCTGAATGAAGAGAGGTGAGAACGGAAGCAGATGAGGATAGGTGGGAGGTAGACAAGATATGTTGAAGCTGAGCAATTTGAGTACTCAAGGAAGCCAAATCAGGATTTGGAGCCAAAGCAAATGCAGTATAAGCGGTTGGAGGGCTAAAAGGATTTTGAGTAGGGGCTTGAAATTAGGATTGAGACTGCTGAGAAGTCGCACAGCCCTTCTTTGGACAGTTATACTTCCAGTGGCCCTTCTGATGGCAAAAAGCACACTCATCTGAAGCTAAGGGCCCTTTCTTGCGTTTGGCGGAGGCTTGAAGAGGTGGGGTCGATAGCAGCGAAGGTTTGGCAAGAGCCAAGAAGACAGATGGAGAAAAAGTCTGACTAGTCATCTTAAGACGAGTTTTCTCGGAAAGGAGTTCACGAACAATATCCACAGAAAGAAGAGGAGACCGGTGAAAGATGCCGCCACGGGTAGCCTCATACTGAGGGGAGGGAACTGTTAAAAATTGCACCAAATGGCCCTCTTCCCAAAACTACAAATAGGCATCTAGTACCTTAAGACTAGACGGTTCCATGAGAGCAAGCTGATCCTAAAGTCCCTCCATCTCAATGTAGAAATCCTGAATAGACCGATTTCGCTGATGAGCATTTTGAATAGCTGTTTTCAACTCATGCCATTTGGCAAAATTGGACTGTTAATAAACCCCTTGTAAATAGTCCCAAACCTTCTTGGCAGTAGTATATTTGGAGAACATCATCCCAATGCGATCATCCGCAGCATTATGAAACCAAGTCAAAACTTGGGCATTATCACAATCCCAAGTGTCACAAGCAGTTTGATATCCATCCTTTTTTTGATCCAATAGACGAGAAACAGAACCAGAAACATAGTCCTATTTTTTTCGACCAAGCAAAAATATTTTCATAATAGTGGACCAATAAGCATAATTGATTCCAATAAGTTTGCAAGTTATAAATTGAATTTTGTCGTCTGACGTGGTGACAATAAACCAAACCAAACCAAGCCAAGCCTTAAATCCCATCAAATGGGGTCGGCTACTGAATCCTTCTTCTCCATGCGGCCCTATCAAAGGCCATTTCATTAGTCAAATTAATTAGATTCATATCTCTATTTATAACGCTAGTCAACGTTAATCTAGGCCTACCCCGTCCCCTAACACTTCCATCTATCGTTACAGCTTCGCATCTCTTCACTACTGCCTCTGTTGGTCTCCGTTGAATATGACCAAACCATCTCAAACGATTCTCTCTCAACTTATCTTCTATTGGTGCTACTCCTACCCATTCCCGAATACACTCATTCCTAATCATGTCCTGTCTAGTCTTACAACACATCCACCTTAGCATCCTCATCTCAGCCACACTCATCTTATCTACATGATGTTTCTTGGTTGCCCAACACTCCGTCCCATACAACGTAGCTGGTCTAATAGCTGTTCTATAAAACTTACATTTTAGTCTAGTGGGTATTCGTTTATCGCACAATACCCCAGACGCACTTCTCCACTTACACCATCCCGCCTTAATCCTATGGGCCACATCTGCATCAATCTCTCCCACTGTTGTGATAATCGACCCTAAATAACGAAAATGTTCACTCTTAGGCAGTTCTTGGTTCTCAGTCTTCACTTCTCCTCTGCTTTCATTGTTACTGTTACTAAATTTACACTCCATGTACTCTGTCTTAGTTCTGCTTATCCGAAATCCTTTACATTCAAGAGCTTTTCTCCAAATCTCCAACTTTGTGTTAACTCCTTCTCTAGTCTCATCCACTAACACAATATCGTCTGCAAAAAGCATACACCATGGCACGTCATCCTGAATATTTATCGTCAACTCGTCCATAACTAAAGCAAAAAGATAAGGACTTAAGGTAGATCCTTGGTGTAACCCTACAGTGATAGGAAATTCATTTGTTTCTCCAGCTGGTGATCTAATAGTGGTCACCACCCCTTCATACATGTCCCTTATCACATCAATGTAGCCTTTTGTCACCCCTTTCTTCTCTAACGCCCACCATATTATATCTCGGGACATTCTGTCATATGCTTTCTCAAGGTCGATAAACACCATATGAATGTCTCTTTTCTTTTCTAGTGACCGCCATTCCTGCGTCTATCCTTACCACTATAATAAAGTTTAAAACCAGTATCCTCAATTTCCCTAGCTTTCTCTCCCGTCCACTTAGTTTCTTGTATGCAAGCTATACTAACTCTCCTCCTAATCATAACATCTACCAATTCCATCGTCCTACCAGTTAAGGTTCCTATGTTCCAAGTGGCTATCCTAAACCTATAGTTTTGGACTGGCTTCTTTACCCGCGCTCGTCCAGAAAAACGCGGAAACCTTTGCCCATTTTTCACCGCACCCAGGCGTCGATGCGGTTCCCCTTGCTCACTTTTCGAAACACCCGGAGGCAGGCGCAACGCGTCACTTGAGGGGAACGACCTAGCATTTAAACGATTCAAAGTAGGATTCATTTTCATAAGGGATCCGAGCGGCTTTTTTTACGTGTTGGCTGTCGGCTACCTAGCACACAACCCTCCTCCTTAACCCGGGCTTGAGACCGGCGGAGTCGTTAACAACCCCGGCGGAGTTGACGTGGTGACAATATTATGAAAAATTGTAAAGGGCCTAAATGAAGTGTATTAGAACCAGTTAGGTCAAAATTATAATAACCAGAACATAGTTAGGTCAAAATGATAATAAGCAGAGTTTTGACCCAATCATCCACAAATATCAATTAGAGAGCGCGAACCAAGAAAGGGCTTGATGTCGCGATGCTGAACCAGAGGGAGAGAAGATGAAGACGAACCAGAAGGATTGCGACTTCAGACCAGAGATGTCGCGACTTCAGACCAGAGATTAGAAGGATGTCACGACTTCGAAGAACCACGGAGAAGGCCTTCTCGACCGACACAGGGAGGGCTTCGACCAACGAGTTCAAATGAAACCCTAGTTCTGATACCATGTAAGTTTCTGAATATTTTTGTATATTCAACTGAATAATTGATACAAAGAGTACATTACTTATATAGAACTCTAATCCCTAAACCTAAAAAGGAAATACGAATTACACAAAATATTTACATAATCACAATCATTCCAAATTCCTAAAATACAATAATTCCTAAAATAATGGACAATATAGGCAAATATATTCTCACAGTATGGTTGTCCAATAATTTATTTTTTTTAATTTGTTTCTAATTTTGATGCAACAAGCAATAAACAATCATTGATGCTGGTTTCACAAAATTGCATATAACCTGGAAAACTAGAAGATTGAATTGAAATATTTCCGTCTACATTTGTTTCTCTTGTTTCACTTCTAGATTTTCCTACTAATCATGTGATATAATAAGCATCGAGTATATCTTTACTTGCAGTCAATTGGTTTTGTTGGTCCTGGGATTGCTCTCATTGGTCTAACCATGGCAAAGCGCCCATCAATAGCATCTGCTTGGCTTACTTTAGCTGTTGGGCTAAAATCATTTAGTCATTGTGGGTTCCTTGTGAATCTTCAGGTTAGCGTACTCAGAAAAAAAATCACTTGAAATTAAGAACAGCATAAATTCTGTTTTCAATCACGTCTGACCTTATTTTCATTCTTTTCTTTGACCAGGAGATCGCGCCACAGTATTCTGGTGTTCTACATGGTACTTTATCCATTCTAATGTTTTTTGATGAATTTGATTTGTCTTTGAAGTATATGATGACTTGAGAGTACTAGTAATAGCTTAAGAATAACTTACAACTATTTTTTGAACTCATATGAGGTCGTCTCAGACTCAAATCAGTTTGATAAATTTGATTTGACTCATTAATTGAAAGCATACCGTGTCTTGGTAAGAGGTCATATGACCTGTTGCAATCGCAAGTATGATCCACCCTATCCTTGTGACACAGCTTTGAGTAAAGGAAAGCAACCTCTTCATGTGTAGCTCTCTCCTAGACCCCGTTGCAAACGGGGAAGCCTGTGTACCTATATTTGGTCGGAAGGAATTGATTGACTAAACATCTTTTGCTTCCCCTTAGATTAGAGCCAGAGGGCTATTGCATGCATGATTGTTTTGTGATAGGATGCACTTTAAGCATGATCTCGAGTCCCCTATCAAAAGGCAATGGGAAATACATATTGATTGCATTAATTGTAGCAAAAACAGAAATAGATGATTCCTTGATATATTTTCAGACCTGGCCCAAAATATAAACAAAAACAAAAAATATTAGAGAGCTGCAGAAAGACTTGGGCTCTGTTTGAAACCATTTTCAAATGGGTTTTCCACTTGGTAGTTTGAATATGATGTTTGGATAGAGTTGTGGAATTAATTTTCCACAACTCAGCAGAAAACTCTGTTTGAGAGAGCGATTTTGGAAATTTGGCCTAACCGGTCGTCCCACCAGACGTCCAGCTGGTTGACCGGAACAGTGCAATTTTTTTTTTTTGCAATTGATATGTTAATTTTTATATATACGAAAATATTATTTTCCGAATTTTTTAAAAAAATTTATGTGCTTTAATAGAATTTTGAGTTATATGTTTGGTTATGATTTGTAAATTTTTGTATCAAATATCAAATGTCACATCAAATATTCCCTACTTATTTCAAAACTCTTTTCAAAACTATTTTTAAAACTTTTTCACCAAACAAATTTTCCACATTCAAATTATAATTCCAAAACCCACAAACTCAAAATACAACTCATACTCTCAAATCATATTTACAAAGCTCTACTAAATGCAACCTTGATCTTCTTGATATAAAGACTTTCTAATGGGGCCTAATTATATATACTTTGAATTTGTTCTAGGTTTGTCAAATACCGCAGGGACATTTGCTGCTATTGTGGGAACAGTTGGAGCTGGTTTCTTTGTCGAATTAGTGGGTTCTTTCCAGGGATTTTTGTTGTTGACATCACTGTTGTATTTTTCGGCTGCTCTATTCTATAACTTATTTTCTACAGGAGAGAGAGTCAATTTTGATGAAACTGGTTAGATCATCATCTACAAGTGTGATAATTTTCCATTGCTACTTATTATAAAGGGACACATTTTTTTATGAATGAAATAGTATGTCGTAAATCCCATGTAAGTTATTGTAGATGTGTTGTAATGTCCACTTATTTCAAAACTCTTCTCAAAACTATTTTCAAAACTCTTTCACCAAACAAATTTTCCACATTCAAATTATAATTCCAAAACTCACAAACTCAAAATACAACTCATACTCTCAAATCATATTTACAAAGCTCTACTAAATGCAACCTTGATCTTCTTGATATAAAGACTTTCTAATGGGGCCTAATTATATATACTTTGAATTTGTTCTAGGTTTGTCAAATACCGCAGGGACATTTGCTGCTATTGTGGGAACAGTTGGAGCTGGTTTCTTTGTCGAATTAGTGGGTTCTTTCCAGGGATTTTTGTTGTTGACATCACTGTTGTATTTTTCGGCTGCTCTATTCTATAACTTATTTTCTACAGGAGAGAGAGTCAATTTTGATGAAACTGGTTAGATCATCATCTACAAGTGTGATAATTTTCCATTGCTACTTATTATAAAGGGACACATTTTTTTATGAATGAAATAATATGTCGTAAATACCATGTAAGTTATTGTAGATGTGTTGTAATGTAGTTGAATATAAAGAACAGCACGTAGAGCTATATTAAATCATTGTCTTGTTATAATTTTTTATTCTTTTTATTCAAGCAATTCTACATATACTTCTATTTTTGTTAATGGACTCGAGTTTGATTTCAAAGGCTGCATACAGAATATACCATAGAACCCCGTGGGGTTCTTTTTTTGACTCAGAAATACTGTCCTTGTGTTGGATATGACCAGTGTCCCCCCTCAATTCAACTAGACAATTTGCATGGTATCAATCACTGATGTTGTGTTTGGTTAGAGGATTTGATGAGGGATTTGGAAAGGGAAATGGAAAAGTTAGGTGAAATGTGAATAAAATATACTTACATTTCACCTAGTTTCACACACCTTTTCCCTTTCCCTTTCCAAATCCCTCTTCAAATCCCCCAACCAAACACAACATGACTGTTCTTCAAAGGTTTTCTGGGAATGGTTATACAGTCTGGAGTAGTAATTTTTTAGCCATAGTCTATTGATACATATATCTATCTTCTATTTAGATTTGCTGATCAGTTCTTCAGTTGCTTTGGCTCATTTCAGCAACACCATCTGATGCAGTGTGAATGGTTAAGATTCGGAGACAGTATCATTGGAATGCATCAAAGGTTTTGGAATGGAAAGTAAGCAAGAAAATCGTGCTGCTATATTACTGTTTTTTGGGGGGGCTCCTTCAGTCAATATGTGCAACAAAATCCAGCTTGTTAGAGTTGAAAGACTTTAACCCTGGTCAAGCGCCCATTGAGGAGAGTATTAAGGAGTGTGCCCACCAGGCTGCCCGATGACTTGCTACAAAGTAATAATATATTAACAAATTTGTAGTTAGATTATAATGCATATCTGTCCATAAATTTGAACTTAAGGCCTCACAGGAGTCATCAAATGGGTCTTTTATTTAAAAATTGAAAATTATGTGGTTTAAAAATTATTCTCCCTTCTTCAAAATTAAAATAGGGAGTAGCTTCTTTTTAGTCTATAGTTTGAGTATAGACTAGAGAGGTGTAGTCTAGTTTGTGAGTCTCAGAATGAGTTTCATTTGATGATATGACTTGTTTATCTATACACCTTTATGAATAAATTCATGAAAGAAAGAAAGAAAGAAAGAAAAAAAATGATCCGATTCTAATAATTACATGATTTTGTTATGTTTGTCAATAGATAACATTTTTAAAAATTATACTTATTATTCATTTTTATGAAGTCAAATATAATAAATTATATTATTACAGTTATCAAATCCATCCGTGAAATGAGCCGGGTATGAGCCCACTTGAGCTTGGATGTTAATATTGTAGGACTCTAAACACAGCCCAGTTCAATTTGAATTAATCATTCATGGCAATGATATGTGGCCCCATCGAAGTGCATACACGTCGAGTTTACCCAACTTTTTAAAATCTAATTTTCTGTCCAAGTCCTTTTTTTTTTCGGTAGTGTATCCTGCACTAATTAATATACTAATACTAGTTATGACATTATTATTGACTTTACTTTACTCATTAATTACATTATAAATACAAAAAATCTCTTAAATTATGTCACGTCATCAATTAATACACTAGTTGATACATTAATTAATGCATATAACATTATTACTTTTTTATTTCATTTTTTAAGCCCAAAAAAACCTTCCTGTCTCCAAATGTCTCTCAATCACCACGTAAAGCTTACTTAAACTAGTATTCAAACAAATACACTTGAACTTTGAACTAGTCTTATTCTCCATTTTATAACCCAATCCAACCAGTAATAATTAATACGAACAATAATTATTATCGAAATCACATATATTAAATCTTTATTTTTTAGCAGCACTGATTTAGTAAACGAAAGCAACAGACAAAATGTTTGCATTGAATTTTATGGTGTGACCAGACTTGGCACGGCCACCATCTCTGCAAATGAGGAAGACCACGGTGAGTCCGAGTTCAAGTCCTCGGGTGATCCAATCACGCAAAAGAGAACAAAACAGAGAAAATTCACAGAGCAGGCTTGCCAGAAATAATCAAACAGACAAGAACAATCATCAGATTCGGACGAAAACTCATCAATCTACCTTTACTGCTTACATCAGAGCTGCAGCCAAGAAAGTTGCTGTAGTTTTCACTACCATACTTTTCTGGCCAACAAGAAAACCCAACTCCAAGTCCCCTGATGTTGGAATTCCCAGTAAGTCACTCTTCTCAATTGGATCAACAAAATTACTATACTATATATTTATATATCATAATTTGCAGCCTGTGCTTTGTTGGGTAGTGTCAATTCTGATAAGTACTAAGTACTGGACCACTCAATTGCACAGTAATGCTATGTTTGGATGGAGAATTTAAGAAGCGATTTGGAAAGGAAAAATAAAAAAGTATGTGAAATGCTACAATTTCACCTACTTTCACATATTTTTTTTTTTTCTATCCCTTTCGAAATCCCTTCCCAAATCTCCCAACTAAACATATCATAAGTTGGTAGCGATTAGGGGCTCAACTCCGACCCAAATTTTAGAGGGGGTATTATTTTAATTTTCTAGGTGAGGTGAGGCTGTTATCTCTATAATATGTTGTGATGTGTGAATAGGATTACCAAGCATATGGGTTAGGTCGTGTTGATGCAGAGGTATGAAAATGAAACTTGATAAGAGGACAAAAGTACGGTCTTGTTCATACTTAGAAATATTAAAGATGTGGAATTTTTAGTCAAGCTGTCTACGCAATAACGCAATAATTTTAACTATTTTGTTGTTGTGATGAGAGTGCAGATTGTGGATTAATTTTTATATTAGTTATGCATTCTTGTATGTGGTCTGCAGTTTCAGTAGATAATTCTGCAGTAAGCAGCAGCAGCAGCAAGAGCCGGTCCAAATTCAAGTATTCCGATTCATATGGATCTTCATCTTCCAAGGCTGCAAGCAGTCAGGCGGGAACGATTGCTTTTTCCATGGATGAAATTTATAAAGCAACTAATAATTTCTCTCCGGTGAATAAAATTGGAGATGGAAGCTTTGGAACGGTGTACAAAGGGAAATTGAAAGATGGATCTTTTGTTGCCATTAAGCGCGCTAAAAAGGTAGATATTGTAAGCTACAATGCCATATTTGAACGTAAAAATTTGTGTTTCTTTTGTAATTAGAGCATGAAATTGTATCCAAATGGGAAAATTTAGACATAATGAGAGCTAGAATTATAATTGCACAGTAATTGACCATGCGTTTGAGTAATAATCTTGAATTTTTGTGGCAGGATCTACACGATAAACGCTTGTTCGTTGAGTTTAAGAATGAAATCCTTACATTATCGAAGATAGAACATCTAAATTTGGTGAGGTTATTTGGATATTTGGAGCATGGGGACGAACGGATTATTGTAGTTGAATATGTTGCCAATGGAACACTCCGGGAGCATTTGGATGGTAGGTCAAGCTACATATTCACCAACTTTTGAATATGAAAATCAAGAACATTTACAACAATTTTGTCTATTCCAGTTCTGAAAATTATAAAGTTGACCTTAATTAGTTTCGCAATGTATATGGTCCATTGTGGAAATCACTTTTTCCCTAGTAAATAATTGATGTTAACGCTTTTAAGATTGGCCTCAAAGTGTTTGTGAAAATGTTCATTTGGGAAAATTGAAATCAGGATAGTAATTTTGTTGTGCAGGTATGCGTGGAAATGAGCTTGAAATCGCTGAACGTCTTGACATTGCAATTGATGTAGCTCATGCTGTTACATATCTGCACATGTACACAGGTATGAAACCATCTTTTGAATCAACTACTGTCAATTTGACTTACGATTTCATCCATTTTTATTGAACCACCTTGAGATGATCAATGTATAGGCTTTAAAGTTCGAATTCTGGATTGTTGGGTCCATAGGAAACTTCCCCGGCCTTTGTTGTGCTGTGGAAGATCACAAAAACACAAATTTTGAAAACAAGCTAGTCAATCATTGTCCTTACCAGTTGATTGTGAAAAACATTGAAAATGCTGAGTTTTGGTGAGTTGTGTTACAGATCCTCCAGTAATCCACAGAGACATAAAAGCGTCAAACATCCTCATCACAGAGAAACTCCGTGCCAAAGTGGCTGACTTTGGATTTGCACGATCAGCTGTTGAAGATCCGGGAGCAACTCACATTTCGACTCAAATCAAAGGAACAGCTGGTTACTTGGATCCTGAATACCTCAAGACGTATCAACTTACTCATAAGAGTGACGTTTATTCCTTTGGTGTATTGCTTGTAGACCTGATGACAGGAAGGCACCCGCTTGAGCCAAGGAGGCCGGTCAAGGAGAGAATAACTGCAAAATGGGTAAGCAATTCAAAAAAAAAAAAAACAAATAAATGATAGCTTACCAAACATGCTTTTAGCAGCAATAGCTTGTGCCTCACTTCCAAGTACATAAACTTTTAATTTTGTGAAGTGAAGTCCCACATTGCGGTACTAAAGTAATGTGTAGTATATAAGCATGAGGGTGCCCTAATGCTTAATGCTTATATACTACATGCATAATAATGCAAATTAGTTCTCGTCAATTTTTAAGGTTTTGGGTCCCTTTATATTGTGTTTTTGTGCATTTTTTTTAGCATAGGTAAACTAATTATGCCTATAACTGATATCCTAGCACCTAACCAAACTGTTAGAATTTACCATAAACCTACCACCACTACCACCTCACCTACTCCACTAAACCTAACCCACTACACCACTACCACCTCCACTTCACCTACCCTCCACCTGCTCCCAAACACACTCCTATATAATAGGAATCCTTGTAATTGTAATAAATACTACAACATCAATCAATCAATAATACATATATTTTTACACAAACGTATATAGGTATTTTCTTTTTCTGAAATCCAAATAAAAGAGAACTAGGATAAAAGTGCTTGAAACAGAAATAGCATAGGCCATAGAAGAGGTCTTGACATCTATGTAGGAAAGCACGTGTTGTGTAGAATCACTACCAGTAACCGAGCCTCCTTGTGCAACCTGGCTTGAGAGTTCCAACCATTGACACGGAATTTTGTCATGTCTACCTCTATACCTATTTTGGCCGGAGTCCTAAATTTTTAGGAGAAAACAATATCTTAGCATTAGCAAATAGTTTTTCAATTCAATAAATATTTAAATGAACATGAGAAGTATAAAGAGCACACATTGTATTTCATAGCTGTACCAAAACTAAGTGGGGTATTTTAGGTGGAGTTTGGCAATTGCTTTTTTAGTTGTGTTTTGTTTTCTTTTTTAGAATCTAAAAGAGCTGATGTGTTTGGTAATTGCTATAAAAGTTGCTTTCGTATTTGTGGAAAAAGTGACTTTTTAGTTGTTTTTTAGCTCATGACAAACATGCTTCTGCATTTTGGTTTATTTGGACTAAAAACATCTTTTCATCCCAACAAACACAATAAATGGATTGCACTTCCAACTATGTTATTGTCTAATCCCTAAATTTGAGAGAGAATTTCAAGCTGCTACCTACCAGGAAAAGAAATCTGGATGTTGTGATCCTAATCTAAGTTTCACAGTAAGATCCAATGTAATGTGAGAAAGGACTGGATCCAAAATTCATGTCAATGAAGTGGATACTTCAAATAGCTAATGCTTTTAGAGTTTGGATTCTTCCTTGCAGTGTTTGTGGTGTTGACATAAAATAGACAATTGCTTTCTTGATCATATAAATGTATCTACCATAACTAGATCTAATATATGGCCAGCCAAATTCAAATTTTCTTTTTTCATTGAGTTCAGGAAAGAGATGTAACAAATCAGAGTTTGGTTCCTATTTCTCACAGACATCACATGACACCTCTGTAATGTTAAAAGTTGGAGTCACAATCTGCTTTATGTTTGCATCACATGATGCTTCTAACTCAAATCACATCGTTCATGCTCTCTTCGTATTACCCTTGTCTCATGTGTTGCAAATTAGAAATTCATCACACGGCACCTTTATAATTTCCATGATTAGACGGTCAACACTTCCCCTTCACAAGGGAAATTATCCAAACAAATCCGACATTACTACATAAGTTTTTTTAACATAGTATTCAACAAGAATGACCTTCTTCTGTAACTATGAATTTGTTTTCTTTACTTTGGTGGTTCTGCCTTTTTTTTTTTTTTCTTTTTTCTTTTTTAAATTTGGTTTTAAGTTTGAATTAGATGGCACTATTGATCAAGTGACCATGACAGATAATCAAATAGAAATAAAGATGATCTGTGTATGCAGGCAATGCAAAGACTCAAAGAAGGAGATGCAGTAGTGGCAATGGATCCAAGACTACGAAGAAGTCCAGGATCAATCATGGTTGTGGAGAAAGTTCTCAAACTGGCTCAACGTTGCCTCGCCACTCAAAGACAATCAAGGCCCTCAATGAAAGACTGCGTCGAGGTATTATGGAGGATTCGGAAAGATTTTAAAGAGAACGTTTCCCTTGCTGCTTCCACTTCTCATCAATCTGAAAACATTGATTTAAGGAAGGTTAATCGAAATATGTTTGGAATTGAAGACAGTGACGCCTATCAATTCCGTTCTGCTTGAATAATTCAATTGTGCAAATTGTTGTTATACAACTGTTTGGTTTTTTGTATATTCCCACATTCTAGGCTTTGACATGGTTTTTTGACTTTTAAGGTGGACCAATAAGTGGTTACCCTTCGGCTTATAAACTAGATCATCAGGATGTGGGTGAGTCTGATTTTTGTCAAAAAGCTTTTGTTAAATGACTTTTAGTCTTTGTTCTATATTTCACTAAAACTCTGTGGCTTAAATTTGGAGACAAATTGTACATAGTAACCTAAATTTTTTGGTAAGTTGAGAGGAATAGGTTCCAAAGTCTTCATTAGAAGATGGAAAAGAAATGAAAATTGGACTATTCATCATTTTCCCCCTCTATTGTAAATAGGCTGTGCTGCTTTCAATGTTAATTTCGCCATATTAAAAATTCAAAATCACAGAAGGTTCCATTAATCAACCGGTAACTTATTAGAGTTCTTGTACCTGCTAATTAGGAGTTTGATTCTCTTCACTTATGTGTAAATTGAGCTCTGACTCCCAATTTTAGGAAAGAGTTCCACATTTAATAATTATTACTGGTATGTGCCCATCCGATGAGCCGTTAAATCTATACCATATAAATCTTGATTTTAATTCTCTTTTTTACATGCTTTTTTTATTTATAGAAAGTTACAAAATTATTTTTAAATACTTCTATTTTTTTTTATTTTTTTTTTCAGCTAAAAAATTATTAAAATAATCACTTCTCCAGTGAACCCCGTGGTTGAGTGCGCGATCACAAGGAGTCCGTGGGAGTTTTTAGCAGTGATGATAAAGCATCTCTCTTCTTCTTTATTATTGGATCCATATATATCTTGTGATTTATTTATAATTTAAAAATTGATAATAAGATAGTATAACTTAAAATACTTTACTTTAACTTCTAGATAATCAAAATTTTAATTTATTTAAGTTATCTCTACCAACTAAACTGTAAATAAAAATTACATCAAATAATTTGACACAAGCACTCAAAATAAAAAATAAAATAAAAATAAAGATTAATAAGCTCTTTAAATAAGGTACAATTACACCAAAGTGGTATCGATAAAAGTTAAGAGAATTTTTTTAAGGTCATTTATATTAAGATTTTATAAGATAAATGGCATATATTATTTTCATAGTAGGTTCTTCAACATTTTCACAAAAAAAAATTTAACTAAAAGAAATTTCAACTCAACTCAGAGAAATTTTAGTCTCGATACAAAAAAAAATTATTAAGAAACCTTAACTAATAAAAATAATTATATTTGACCTCTCATACTATACAAAGTTAAAAAGAGATATTTCACTAGTTTTTTTTAAAATTAATTATATATTAATAAAAAATAATTATTAATATTTATCATATCTTTGTAATTATTTTTCTTGAGGTTATTTGCCAGTTAAATAAACAGCATCAAAGGAGAAGAGAAATACAGTTCTGGTTGGGGTTATCCTAATCGTGACTCGTATCGTAGTGCGCGCTTTCTTTTTATTTTGTTCAATTCTTGATTTCAATATGGTATACTTCTCAGTGCCATGTTTATTTTGTTCAATTTTTGATTTCAATATGGTATACTTCAAAATCTCCACTGAAATCTCCGACAAAATCTCCCCTTCAAATTCGGTTTCCAAAATGTATCAGTTAACTCAACCATATAATATTCAAACAAATTTATGTTATAAAGGAAGGGTAATTTAGGTACTTTATAACCTAAAATAAATTTGAGGGACCTTAGCCATCAAAATATATTATAAAGGACCTTTTCCCATAAATAAACAGCATCAAAGGAGAAGAGAAATACAGTTCTGGTTGGGGTTATCCTAATCCTAATCGTGACTCGTATCGTAGTGCGCGCTTTCTTTTCAAGAGGCTCACATGTCTTTCCGTTTCTACTCTTACTATTTTTCACCGATCTCAACGCGCCATGTCAACTCTCTCTCTCTCACTTCACTTCCATGGAACTCTTCCGTCGTCTTCTCTCTCTCTCTCTCTCTCTCTCTCTCTCTCTCATACTTTTTTGGTAAGCTTCCTCTGATATTTTCTTCTCCTCTCTCTCTCTCTCTCTCTCTCTCTCTGTCAATCATATCATATTATATCATATTCACCACCACATGCACTCCCACACTCCTCTTCTTGTCTCTTTGCCCTTTTTCCCTCACTAGAATTTCACACTCTCTCTTCTCTCTTTAAATATCATCCCAATTCGTAGCCTTGCTTCGTATTGCCACCATATGTAGTTTATCAAAGCTCTTCCAATTTTTTACCGCAACTTGATTTGATCGAAGCAATAAAGGTAATGTTCTTTTCTAGATTACATTTCTGTGGTTGTTAATCCTCCAATTCTTTTTCTTCACTTGTCTACGATGAAGAATCAAAATCAACTCCTTCTGCATAGCATAATCTCCACTAGGGAAACCTAAGCTTTCAATAGTATCATTTTGCATAATTTTTTAAAGCTTAATTTGTTTTTGTTCCATTTTATTTTATTTCTTATCTTGATTGTATTGTTGGCTTGTTGCTCTGATTCGGCATTTATTTTTATTAAAAAAAAAATCTAGGAATTCAGAGATCAATCACACGCCGAGCCAAACGAGTGAACTGTTCAAGCTTAGTTTGAAAACTGTAACGAGCTTGAAAATTTGTTAAGCTGGGTTCATTAAATTTTCGATCCAATCTCAAACAAGTTTTTGTCGAGTAGTTCAGTATTGTTATATAGTTTTACACTTATTGAACTGAGCCAAACGAACAATTGATTGTTCAAATTTGGTTTGAAAACTTTAACGAGCGCCAAATGACTTCAAGATTTGCTTGTTTACTTAATGAAATGAGTTCAAACGAGTTTTTAATGAGCTGAATATGATTCGAGTTCGAGCTGTTCGGTTCGTTTGATTTAGCAGCCCCAAACCTCACGTGACAGTTCTGTCTAAATAATAGAACAATATTTTTTAACTGTTGGCGATACTAGTATTTGCTTTGAGCAAAAGCGTGGTCATACAAAGAGTAATAAGCAGTTTTAAACGCTTAATTTAGTTTTGTTCTATTTTATTTTTTACCTTAGTTGTATTGTTGCTGTGGTTGTCATAAATTTTAATTGATTACTCTTGTTGTTTTAGGTTATTTTTGCCATTTGTAGTACTACTGTAGAAGCTGGTAAGAGTAGTAGGCATGGCTACTATAACCGAAGTCAATGGTAAAACTAAGTCTGGTGTTTCTGCTAAAGCTGGTGTATTTGCCAAAGTTCCGGCTGTTGCACACCCAACGGCCCAAGAAGCAGCCGAGGTTGCATCCAACATTAGTTACCATGCGCAATATAGTCCTCATTTTTCTCCTTTCAAGTTTGAGCCAGAGCAAGCATTCTATGCGACAGCAGAGAGTGTTCGTGATCATCTGATACAAGTAAGACTTAAAGAGTAATCTATGAAGGTTTTGTGTTTGAAGAACTTTATCTCGCTATTTGTCACTTCGTAGTATCAAACTACAGAGATTTTACTAATTTGTCAAGTGTTTTACAGTGATGTAAACGTGTGAGGTCTTGGAATAAAACCTAGACAGTAATATTGAGCCGACTTTTTTTTTATATTAATGTGATGTCACCTGAATGCATGATTATACAAGTATATGTTTTGAATAGTTGTCGTATATTCATGAAACTTGCCCCAAAAAAATAAAGAAATAGTTCATACGATGTAGTTGGGCCTATGAAGCACGGATACTTCAAAAAGGGTGACGTATCCGTATCGGATACTTATCGGATACCGATACTCCTCGGATACTCGCGGATACATATCGGATACTTCTTAAAAGTATCAGATACTTCTTAATTAATTTTTTATTAATTTTGAAGTATCGGATACTTAATTTTGAAGTATCGGATACTCGAAGTTATATATTACTTATAATATTTCGTTTAGTTCTTTGATAAAGAGGAATATAGTGAGAGTTAAAGTAATAGAATTTGTCAAATTGATGTATCCTTGTTGTCTCTCTCACTTCTCTTTCGCTTTTTCACTCTCTCACGTTTCTTCTCTCTGCTCTCATTCTTTTTTTGGTGTTGGCATGTAAGGATGATGTTTAATTTGCATTTGCATTTGCTTTTGCTTTTGCTTTTGCTTTTGCTTTTGCTTTTAGTTTTGGATGTTTTATGAATGTTTGAGCACTTTTAGGTTAATAGGAATGCCTCTCCTTATTATTAATTTACTTTAAGTTTTATTTTCATGCATATTACATTATTAAAATTATATATAAAAAAAAAAATTATGAATGTATCCCCGCTGTACCCGTATCGTACTTTTTCAAATTTTGACATATCGCCATATCCACATCCCCATATCACCATATTCGTATCCGTGCTTCCTAGGCTATCATTGATGACTTAAAAAAGTATATTTGCTGAAATTTTTATTTAAGAATGGTTTTTTGGCTTTAGCTAAGGTCTTGTGATATTCAATGATGAACGGGAACAAGTTGAAGTTATTGACCTTGAAGACTCTTAGTTTTATAGGAATCTTTCTTCTTTATCAAGTTGTCTTTTGCTTTAGGTTTTATTTTTATGCATACTGCATTACTAAAAATTGTTAAAATAATATTTTTTATGAACGTATCCCCGCCGTACCCGTATCCTAGTTTTTCAAATTTTGTCGTATCGCCGTATCCGTATCGTATCGTATCCGTATCCCGTATCCGTATCCGTGGTTCCTAGAGTTGGGCCAATTGAATTACAGCTACATCTCATGATTTTTAGTTTTGTGAAGGAAAAAAAGAGCAAAGAATGCAAAGATATGATTTTTAGTTTTGTGGACACTTAGGCTGTTTTTGGATCTTAGATTTGTAGAGGGAAAAGACAAGGGAAGGGAACTCTTTTCCCTTTCCTTTTCTTTTCCCTCCACAAATCTAAAATCAAAACACAATCTAAAGCACATTCTTTACTTGGAAAAGACGTCAATTAGAGATAAAAGCTAGTGTATGCACATTTACTTACTCATAAATTGCAGCTGATCTAAAGGTGGATGTGTTTTGCCTGACAATTGCTTCTGCAGAAATGGAATGAGACCTATCTTCATTTTCACAAATCAGATCCAAAGCAAACATACTATTTATCCATGGAATATCTCCAAGGAAGAGCATTAACTAATGCAATTGGAAACCTGGACATTCAAGATGCATATACAGACATGAAGCTTGGGATGTGACAACAAGGTGCAGTTATCATTTTCTCTTAATTGTTTTGCTTCATTTACTCTTTCTCAGATTGTAACATTTGTTTTGAATCCTTTTCTTAAGTCATAACATTAAGCATTTTACCATGGAGGTCTTTGTATTTAGATTTTGCACCATTTATAACTACCCATTTCACTTGATTTCATATTGGCTTCTGATTTTGGCTCAAAGAAGCTGAGAAAATCTATTATTATTTGTGCTTTCTTGTAAAAGATGCTTCTATAATATTTGACACAATTTTATTGGTTCAATTCTGTTAGTAACTTTGTGAGATTCTACATTCTTATGGACCTATCTTAGGTAGACATATCAGCCTTTCACCTTTTGCAAAACAGAATTATGTAGTGTGTTTTTGGGCTATATTCATTGTTTAACTTAACTCCGCCGGGGTTGTTAACAACTCCGCCGGTCCCAAGGCCGGGTTAAGGAGGAGGGTTGTGTGTTAGGTAGCCGACAGCCAACACGTAAAAAAGCCGCTCGAATCCCTTATGAAAATGAATCCTACTTTGAATCGTTTAAATGCTAGGTCGTTCCCCTCAAGTGACGCATTGCGCCTGCCTCCGGGTGTTTCGAAAAGTGAGTTTGGTTTGGTTTATTCATTGTTTAACTTATTTTAGTCTTAACTGTATCAAGTTATTGATTATTTCAGAAATATTTTTTTTGCAGGAGAAAGATGCAGCCCTTGGAAATGGGGGTCTGGGAAGGCTTGCTTCGTGCTTTCTTGATTCTATGGCAACATTAAATTTGCCTGCATGGGGGTATGGTTTGAGGTACAGATATGGGCTGTTCAAGCAGCAGTTTGGCAAGGAGGGCCAAGAAGAAATTGCAGAAGACTGGCTTGAGGTTTGATTTTACATGATAGTCCTTTCAAATATTGATTATATTATGTAAGGGTACTAAGCCTAAATTTGGTGGGAATTGTGCAGAAGTTTAGCCCTTGGGAAGTTGTCAGACATGACATTGTGTTCCCTGTCAGATTTTTTGGTCAAGTTGAAGTACATCCCTCAGGATCGTAAGTGTGGCTTATAGGATTCTTTCCGCGTAACTGGATTGTTGCTCATATGTTTAGGTTCAAGAAAGCGATTATAAGTCTTAGTTTGATTTCTGAATTTAAATTTGTAGTTGCATGGTTGCTTGGATTTTCTGCACATTCTCCATGTGATGGTTCTTTCTGAATGTATTACAGGCGGAAATGGGTTGGTGGGGAGATTGTACAAGCTCTAGCATATGATGTGCCTATTCCAGGATACAAAACCAAGAACACTATTAATCTTCGTCTGTGGGAAGCCAAAGCTGGTGCTGAAGACTTCAACCTCTTTCAATTTAATGATGGACAGTATGAATCGGCTGCACAGCTCCATTCTAGAGCTCAGCAGGTTGGTTTTTCCTTACTATATAAAGGAGAGCAAGCCGCCCTTTTTGGCCAAAGAACACAATTCATGACATACTACCCTGGTCCCTTGCATTCTTGTTGTCCAAAATGTTATTCACTTCTTTCAAAACCTCTGCTGTCTTTCTACTCTAGGGCTGTGAATAATTGTCCAGGGAAACTGTGGTTTTGGTCTTCGTCCTGAACTGTAATTGTGAAATACAAAATCATTGAAGGAAAAAGTAATATATGTCCTGAATTAAAACTGGTACATTTTTCTTTCTCATAATAAATGCTCAGACTAAATGTAACTCTTAACTGTTGGAAAGCTGCTTCTGTTCTCATCTGTGTCTCAATTGTTTTTGCGTGGTATAGTGATCTGGAAATGTGCCTTTGCAGATTTGTGCTGTTCTATATCCTGGGGATGCTACAGAAAATGGAAAGCTTTTACGATTGAAGCAACAATTTTTCCTGTGCAGTGCATCACTTCAGGTTGGCTGCCTTTTCCATTCTGTATTTGTTTAGGCCCCCCATTCTTCTTTAGTACTAAGTTTGTGATTCCTTTTTCTTATTTAAGTTTGTTGAGATCAATCTTAGTTGCTACTTTTCCATGTTGTTTTCTAATCATGGGATCAATCTCAGGACATGATTGTCAGATTTAAGGAGAGAAAAGATGGAAAGGGCTTGTGGCAGTGGTCTGAATTTCCCAATAAGGTTGCGGTACAGCTGAATGATACGCATCCTACTCTTGCAATTCCAGAGCTAATGCGATTACTAGTGGATGATGAAGGACTTGGATGGGATGAAGCTTGGGATGTGACAACAAGGTGCAGTTATCATTTTCTCTTAATTGTTTTGCTTCATTTACTCTTTCTCAGCACCTATTTTTTCTGCTGCCACTTTTAATGTGTTCACAGTGCAAAATTATGATTGGTGCTAATGAATAACAAAAAGGGAAATTTTGAACCAGGACAATTGCTTATACAAATCATACTGTCCTTCCTGAGGCACTAGAGAAATGGTCGCAAGCTGTTATGTGGAAACTTCTTCCTCGCCATATGGAAATCATTGAAGAAATCGACAAGAGGGTTTGTCCATCCTGTCTTATTTTTTCTCTTTATTGCGTGTATATTGTTTTACAATTTCCGAATAAAGAAGATGAAATTCTTGCAGTTTATAGCAATGATACGTTCAACAAAACCAGAACTTGAAAGTAAGCTTTCCAGCATGCGCGTTATGGATAACAATCCCCAAAAACCAGTTGTGCGGATGGCAAATTTATGCGTGGTGTCTTCACATACGGTATGAGCTCCCTTCTTTGTGGATCAACAAACAGATTACATTGTGTATCCCCCATAATCTAAAACTCTTATGAGAATTGGTTTTTGAAAAGCTGAAAGCAGAAAATTGTATTAAACCATTAATAAGTTTTCTTGAGAACATCTCCGTACTAAATATCGATTTTTTTTTCTTTCCTTATTGTTAAACTACAAATTTTATGTTGATTTGGGAGCTACAGTAATTTTAATTTCCAACTAAATATAGACCATACTATCAGAAGCTGAAAAATCCTGCTGATTGAATCATGTTGTCCACTTGAACTACTATTATTGTTGTATTGCTTCCTTACCTTTATTTAGTCGTATGCCCACAGTCCTGCTCATTTGTTAAGCCCTTGATCCACTAATCCTTTACTACCTCTTATAATCTGTTGATCAATTTCATTTGGAAATGAATAAGTGACTTCTCTCGTTGGCCATCTGCCTGCAGGTGAATGGTGTTGCCCAGTTGCATAGTGACATTTTAAAGTCCGAGTTATTTGCAGACTATGTCTCTATATGGCCTAAGAAGTTCCAGAATAAAACCAATGGTATTACTCCTCGCAGATGGCTCCGATTTTGTAGCCCTGAACTCAGCCACATCATCACCAAACGGTTAAAAACTGATCAATGGGTGACCAACCTTGACCTACTTGTAGATCTTCGGAAAGTATGTACTAGAGATGATTTTTAGATCATATTAAAAATCATCTGTCAGTGAATTTTTCTGTATGATTATAATAGTCACTACTAAGCCTTCTTCTCCAATTGATTGCTGACGATGCAGACTTCCAAGCTGAGTGGGAATCAGCCAAGATGGCTGACAAGCAGCGATTAGCTCAGTTCATATTTCAAGTGACAGGTGTAAGCATTGACCCAAATAGCCTCTTTGACATACAGGTCAAGCGGATCCATGAATATAAAAGACAGCTACTAAATATTCTGGGTGCGGTCTATAGGTACAAGAAGTTAAAGGTATCATAAACTTCTTTGTGTTCAAACTATTTAATCATGTAATTTTCATGCTTAAATAACTTTACCTTGCTAACAAAATTTCATTACACCTACTGCCTGTGTCCACTTAAGTTTGTTGTGTCAATATATTCTCCACACACATATATCTGGGTATGTCAACAGAGTTCATAATTCATAAATGTCATATAATAATCTTATTATAGTCTCATCATATCCCTGTAGCTCGTCTTTATGATGCACCTGACAGTCATATAATAGATAATTTGGTCTGGTCTTCCTTTTTTTATTATGGTAAAATCCTGAAATGATTATAATCTCTTACAAGCAATTAGTTCAATGCAGTTAAGCTCCAGTCTTCAAGGTTTATCTTTCAATTTAGCAAATATTTTAGGGTAGATATATTAAGAAGTTCCTTGGAACGGATCTGTGACAGGAGATGAGCCCTGAAGAGAGAAAAAATACTACACCACGCGCCATCATGCTTGGAGGAAAAGCATTTGCGACATATACAAATGCAAAAAGAATAGTCAAGCTAGTGAATGATGTTGGGGCTGTTGTCAACAATGATCCCGAGGTCAACAGCTATTTGAAGGTAAATAATTAGTATAAACTTTTCACATGATGCAAATATTTTCTAGTTGCTGGTGAGTCTCGGCTTACATCTGAAATACAAATCTTAACATTATAAGGCTTTCTTGTTTTGCTATAATGTTCCTCATAGTGCAGCTTTGCTGCAGTTGCTTTTATGGAAACTACATGTAGTAGTTCCGTTACATCAAACTGTGGTAACTAAGGTGTGTGGCATCCATTTGTAGCTGTAGTTTTTTCATTTGTATTCTTCGTATATTAGCATATTTTTTTTCCATCATCAATGGAATTCGATTAAGCATAATGTGGGTACGTGCCATCACTCCCAGAATACAGAAGTGAACCTGCTTGAACTTAGTCTTACAGATTGTTGATGGGCTTCCAGGACATGACGTTGCAAGCACAGAATTTTCCAAGAATGAATTTGACTGATTTTAAAGAGAGAAATTAGAAACTCTTTTGGGAAAAGGAATTCGGTTACACTGTTGATCATTGTCCCCCTAAGAAAAGAAAAATTATTAAATGGACGTTTGTGGTGTTCCAATAAGGAAACTTCCATTACATCGTTGATCATTGTCCCCCAAGAAAAGAAAAGTAATGAGAGATAGTGTAACTTTGTAGTGTTTCATCAGTAAAACATACTATAAACCTTCCCAATTTTAGATATCCACAGCACTTGCTTCTTCTTAACTTTGTCTATGAGAGAGGCTATGAATGGCACACTTTTCATGCTAGATTCTCTTTTAAGATATATGCACAAAGTTCAACATTTTTCACAGAGCACATAAATGTTTGTACATTAGACCTTTGGCATGCAATGCCTCCCCTAATTAATACTGTCATAATGTACTGTTGGAAACCTATATATATTTTTCAGTTTTCATGCAAAGTTCATTTTTTAATTGCCAAAACTTTTTGCAGGTAATTTTCGTTCCAAATTATAATGTATCTGTAGCAGAGAAGCTTATACCAGGAAGTGAGCTATCACAACATATTAGCACAGCGGGTATGGAGGCAAGTGGCACAAGCAACATGAAGTTTGCACTCAATGGCTGTCTCATCATAGGGACATTAGATGGGGCTAATGTGGAAATAAGGGAGGAAATTGGGGAGGAGAATTTCTTTCTCTGTGGTGCAACAGCAGATGAAGTTCCTCGGCTGCGCGAGGAAAGAGAAAAAGGACTGGTAAATAAGTTCTGATTTCTTAGTGTTTGTTGAACAACGCAATTTCATTTTAAAACCACAAAAATGCTTCTAAAGCTACTGATTCTGTGGTTCTCATTGATATTGAACCAGCTGTGTTTTGTTTTACGTTGGTTCGTATATATGTGGACTGCAGCTTTTGTCCTGATACAATATTATTTTTGTTGCTTGTTCTACAGTTCAAACCAGATCCTCGGTTTGAAGAGGCCAAGCAATTCGTAAGAAGTGGAGCATTTGGCAGCTATGATTACAATCCACTCTTTGATTCCCTGGAAGGAAATTCTGGTTATGGCCGTGGTGATTTTTTCCTTGTTGGCCATGACTTCCCAAGCTACATGGATGCTCAGGCAAGAGTAGACAAGGCTTACAAGTAAGAGTTTTACACCTCACCTTTCCTTGTATGAAGGGTAGAGATGGACACTCAATTTAGGTTTTGTGACCCCTCTAGGTCACATTTTTTCTTTAACAAACAAGACAATTTTGATCTTTTTTGCATCAAGCACACTTCATTTTGATAGACGTGTTGATCGTCCTTCTACTTTGAATCCTGAAATCCTTTTCCTGCTTGCAGGGATAGAAAAAGATGGATAAAGATGTCTATAATGAGCACTGCTGGGAGTGGCAAATTCAGTAGTGACCGGACAATTTCTCAGTATGCAAAAGAAATTTGGAGCATAGAGGAGTGCCGTGTACCATGAACTACAGACCCAACCCCGTCACCACCTATCTTATATTTCTCTCTTAATTTTTCGCCCTAACTATGTGCTTAAAACATAAAGAAAGCTGCAAAAGTTTTATAAAAAAAAACACAAAACAAAATCAAAAGAGATCGATCTGTGCCATATATCTTCAATTTACCTTTAGCCAGACATTATACATATGACATTAATAAGGCGTATTTGCATGTTGAATACTTTTTTCTTGAGTCACTTGGGCACTAATTTTATTGGGTATCTTGTTATTTGCTTATTCAACAGTAGTGTTTGATGCCTGTTATTATTTTGATGTATGCACATAATAATGCATTTTCCTACGCTTTGATATTAACTGTGACCTATTCAGACAAGTACTCCACCAAGTTTGAGAGCTCCTTGTGTTGGATTTGATTTACGGCTTTGTATATACTTTTGAGGTTATATAGATCATGGGACTATGTAGCGGTTTGGTCGCAGATGAGCGCGCAGTTTCATCATGGAAGAGTAATAGGGTTGTATTACACTTTCATGTAGTCATGGCTTTGGATTATATCTAAATTGATGTCTTTGAGTCACTTTGGATCACCTCACTCTGAGAAGAAAGACATTTATTTCTGTTTATTCTCTGATCTATCTTGGTCCATTGTATCACCACATGGAAAACTAGACAATAAAATCTCTTCCTCAAATAACATCGCATAAAACTGGTCTTTCGGTAAAGGGAAGAACAAAAATTAGCTGACACAACGAATTCACACGGCAGCCGCCATCCTGGTGCAAGTATTCCAAGTCTGAAATCAATCATCTCGATTACATTATTTTTGGGCATGCAAAAAAATTATAATTTCTTTTTTCTTTTCTTTTTTTTTGGGAGAATAGGATAATATTATAGTGTATATAATTAGAAACCATCAACCGACCTAGCCAAGGATGGATCTGGGGTGCAGGTGGGGGCAATCGCACCTCTAAAAATTTGAAAAAACTATCATATATTATATTACAAAATTTAAAATAATTTAAAATTATTAAGATTTGCACAACTAAATATATTTTCGCACTCTCTTAGTGATAATCTTGGACCTGTCCCTGAACCTAGCGAGAGTGTGTACTGGTTTTGTCTCACTATGTACTGGTTTAATTACAAAGCAATCTACTTTAGTAATAGCAAAGAATTGGAAAAAACAACATAAATATTTAATATCTTGGAAAAAACAACATAAATATAATATCTTCGATGATCATATTTGCCTCCCTGTCTAATTGAGTTTTGCCTTCTGCTCTGCCCACATTTCCACATTTGAAAGTACGAAAATCCACCATTAAGCAGCTGTTGTGGTGCTTCACAAACATTAATAAATTTGTGAACGGAAATAAAAGGGCGAGGAATTTATTTGGGAATGGAAATAAAACGATCCATACAAACATTCAGTGTATTTAATTTTAATTTTTTTTAATTGAGGTTTTTTTATATTTTTAGTAAATATTTTTAAAATTTTAAACAATTTTTTTATTTTTTTAATACACCTTATTTAAATGTATTTAAAAAATAAAATATTTTAAAAAATCAATAAATACAAAAGAATACTAATGAATTGTTCGGGAGAAACTATATAAACATAATTTTTGACTTTTTAATCAAAAAAATAAAAAAATAAAAAGATTATTTAAAACAATTTTTTAATCTTTTTTTAGAAAAAATGTATTAAAATATTTTGTAAAATACCGAACTATCCTTTTGCTTGTCAATGAATTGTGACATGCACGTTTCAATGCACTCTTCTTTTGTTTATTTTATTTTATTTTTTTTTTTTTCACCCATGCATGTCAGAAGATTTGACAAAAACAAAGAGAATTCTGTCATTTTACTCTGTGTATACTAACTTTTTTTTCAGCTCAATTGATTATTAATAGTGTTTAACTTTTTTATTTTTTAGACGTTGTTTATTATTTTTAAAAAAAAGTTAAAAAGTCAAAAAATAACTATTCTATTTAAGTCATTTTATTTAAATCACATCATCACTCTGACACATCACATCAAGCTTAACTCATACTCAACTCATATTTCATAAAAATTCAAAAAATACACTTATTTAGATCATTCCAAACCACATCTTAATAACTTTTTTAACTTCTTATCTTCCTTAAGGAGTCCCAAACAAACAAGGACTTTACATATTTTTTTTAATATTTTTAATATTTAATAAATTTTTTTTAAAAAAAATCACAAATATTATACTTTTTAAATATATTTATATTATATGTATCTAAAACTTAAAATATTAAAAAAAAAAAACACAAAAAATAAAAAAATTAATTTTTTAAAAAGTGAATCTTGAGTTTCAAAACCAAATAAGCTTATTAATATTCCAATCACTGAATTTAGGTAAGTTTTAAATATCACAATCCTCTGCAAGTATTCACTCTTGCAATGGCAGGTTAAGAACTCAAAACACAATTCATTGCAAGGTTAAACTCTAGCCCCGTTTGTTTTGGGTGAAAGAGAGGGTATTGGGATTGCGAATACCAAGGTATTAGTAATAGTCTTGTTTGTTTTGGGAGAAGGCCTTGGGACTATTAGTCCCTTGGTATTACTAATACCCTTGGAGAAGGAATTGGTAAGGAAGAGGTAGAGATGATATTAGAAAAATAGTGAGGGGATTAGAAATTTTTTTATTTTTTATATATGGGAAATTTTTTTTAAAATATAATTTTTAATTTTTTTAAAAATTAATTTTGATTTTTTATATTTTTTTATTTATTTTATTATTTTATATAAAAATAATTTAACAATCTCCTCACTACTAATCCCCTCAACTATCAATCCCGCTTACTAATAATCCCCTCATTATCAATCCCCTCCTTTCTATCTCCCAAAAACAAACGGGCCATAGACTTTTACTACCTAGGGATTATTGTTTTAAGCTGCTTAACACCATCATCTATACCAATAAATTTTTAATCTCACATCTTGTTAGAGTTCAATCTCTCAATCTAAATTTTTAATTTTTTGATTTAAAAAAAAAAAAAAAAAAAACCTTAACATTTATTATTTCCCCAACTCCAAGTCTTACCCTCGTAATAACACTTTATTTTTAAGAATAAGCATAAAAAAAATTCTGTTAAATCACGCATAATAAAATTCCTTACAAGTTCAAAATTCCAACACATGATATTATCTCTCATCATACCTTTACTGTCATCACACCAATCAAAAAAAACCTCTATAACACAGTTCAAACACACTGCATTTATTATATATCTACCTCCAATCTATATAACTTCTAAATAAATAATAAAAAAACAATCTTAACTCATTGAAAACTCCAACACATATGACTATTATTAACACTATTAACTAATAATATAAAAAAATAAAAAATAAAGACAATTAAAAAATTAATAAAAAAATATTTAAAATCGCAATTTACAATTAAATAATTGTAAATATATTAAAGAAAAAAAAATTTCTAAATCCCAAACCTGTGAGAACTTCAATCTTTCAATCTTAATTTCTAATTTTGATTTAAAAAAAAAAACCTCAACATTTATTAATTTGATCAAAATCTCACTGATCAGCATTTTTTTACTTTTTTAAATTCAACTACTGCATTTATTGATTTGATCAAAATTTTAATTAAAATTTATCCCCTCATATAAATAATTATAATACAACCCGTACATAGTTCTACACTAACCTTTTAATTTCTCTTGTACACTATGATTCATGTAAGATTTTAAATTATTTTATAAAAATCTTAAAAATATAATTTATATACTTAAAAAAATTAAAATAATATAAATATTTATAATTATCCGTGAGTCGCAATTATTGCAAAGATGAATTATTGCGGAGGATCCTATTCGAAGCTCATCTTGACCTCTACAGCCAGCAATTAAAACAAGTATCATCAACAGCATTAACAAATAAATCAATAGTACACGCGTCGGTTGCCTCAGTTAGACTGAAAAAGCTCCCCATGACCAGTATGTTCAAAATACAACTACTTACTTTAGTCGTCTACTACTACGACCTGTTCTTTATTCAGACAGCTACTACAAATCAAGAATGTAATTTTCAACCTTTCAGCGACGAGTGAAGCTGAACCTAGAAGGAGTAACAGACCTTGAAACAGATCTGGACCGTGGCCCCCACTCCGGACTCCTCCAATAGCTGTCCGCGGAAATACTCCTCCTTGAGTTCCTCCTTGGTACGGGGGAAATGCTCGAGGTAGCTTCTCCTTCCTGCGCCTTTGGTGTGAAACTGCTGCGCGAGGTAGCTCTTCCTTGACTTCTCCTTCCTTGGCCCAGGTGACACACTGTTTGAATAGCTCCTCCTCACCCTTGGTAAATGCTCCGAGAGGACAGATTGATGGCGGCGTCTTCCTGTATAGCAGTCTTCGATTTATGAGATAGCTACTGGAAGTATAACGAGAGTAGGAGCAATCATGTCTCCTAACCGGTGACCTGCTGAAAGGGAGACAAGATCGTGTCGTTAAAGACCTTCCGGCTGTCAGCGGTCATAGTGGTAGGCGAAGAGATCTTCCTCCTGTAGTAGTAGAGAGAGTAAGATTGCTTCTATCTCGCTCAGACGAGTATCGCGGGAACGGCTCACATGCTAACGGAGTAACTTGGAGATCCACGGGTCGACACTACACAGTGAAAACAAAATCCAGTTTAAGAACGATGAACAACAGCATTAGAAGACTAACGTTAAGTTTAGATCACGGATTTTAATAGAAATTTAGAAGGGGAAAGGAAAAAAAGCAAGGCAGAGATATGACTGAAAATACAAGCTAAATTCTTTCTCTCTAATTCTCCATTTTCTCGCCCTTTCCTTGCACTTTTCAAATCACCCCCAAATACCATTATCATAATGGAGAATACTCACTTGTACCATGAGATTGTTTCTCAGGCCAAGATACCTTCCTGGGAGTACGGTGTTCGCCTGTTCGGCCTCTACCGCCTCCAGCCTGGAAAAATAGATATAAAGCATGAGACCATGAAATTCAACATCAACCAAAACAAACAAGGTAAGACCAAATTGGATCAAAGAACACAAAGGGGCAGCACAGATGACAAAGTTGATAAGTAGTAATTTGATGAGAATATAAGGCTAAATCGCTAAGCAGAAAGAAAAATGCAGGGCATTACAACCCTCTGATATAATAGTCTGATAATTTGCTTGATGTAGTTTGATTTGATTGTTAGTTGTATTGACTCTTGGTGCAAGAGCTGACATACAAGAGCTACCCTGCCGCCACAAAAACTTCAGGCGAAAACAAGCAAACAACTTTCAAACATAAGAACCAGTAGCAAACACCTTGGTGAACACCATTTACACAATTCCGCGCTTGAATTTCAAAGCCGTAGTAGGAAATGGGATTGAATATAACAGAGATTGCAAGAAATATTACAGAACTATATATTATACCTTCTCCACCATCCATGACACGAGCGGCCTCTCGGCAGAACAGATCGACTCAAATACTTTTTGGAACAACAACGATTGGCCTCTTCAACAGATGGACATTGTCACAAAACCAAATCCACGAGATTCCCTTGTCCATGGATCAACAACGAGATG